CGCCCCTTCCTTACTCCCCATGCTGCTGCCATCCTTGTCCATAGTCTTATTACATCCTGTATTGATTACTGTAATTCCCTCCTATTTGGTCTCCCTAAAAAATCCCTTCATAAACTCCAACTTTTTCTGCAGCTCGGATCATAACCCGTACTCCGTTAAGTGCTCATATTACCCCAGTTCTTCAGCAGCTTCACTGGTTGCCCATAGAAGCCAGGATAAACTTTAAAATCTTTCTTCTCACGTTCAAATGTATCCATAAATCTGCTCCTTCATATTTGTGTGACCTGCTCCATATCACCACTGTTTCCAGCCCTCTCAGATCATCATCTGCGACTCATCTTACCGTTCCGTCCTCACATCTTATCACTATGGGGAACAGAGCTTTCAGTCGCTCCACTCCCCGGCTCTGGAACTCTCTTCCTCCTGCACTAAGAAATATTGACACCCTTTCCGTATTTAAGACACAGCTCAAAACACACCTGTTTAGATTGCTGATTTTATCTGTTGTCACGCTCTGTTTTGTAATTTTAACTTATTTTATGTATTTTATGACTATTGTTCCTTTTATTAATTGTGTTTTTTGTAAGGTGACCTTGGGTTTCTGAAAGGCGCCCTCAAATAAAATGTATTATTATTATTATTATTATTATTATTACTATATACCCAAAAGAATATAAAATTGTTTATGCAAACACATTTAAAGAAGAAAAGTACTATAGCCCTTGCTATACATGTTGTTGGCATATAAACCTATGGCTGCATTTTTTGTGTGAAAACAATGCTTTGGAGTTAACTTGTAATTACGCAGGATATGTGCTGTTTTACCTGCATGATGCAGCGATAAATGCTGCAGTGGTGATTGGAGGAATGGCAGGGTACTCTTGGTCATAGTGCTGGATGCCTTTGTACCACTCCAAGTACACAATGCAAAACGTGGCCAGAGACAAGCAGATCCCCAGGAGTAACAGGCCAACGCTGAACCACCAACTGGCAAAACAGGTTAAAATGAGGATCAGTGTCAACACCTAAAGCTAGTCTATTCAAACAGAGAACATGCTGCGTCACGAACACATTCGCACCAGTATCATATAATCACAATGTCATTGAAAGAGAAGAAAAAAAACAAAAACAAAAAAAACACCTCTTGGGTTTTGATTTTCAAGCACCTTTCATAACGACAAAGTAGTGCTTGGTAATACAGTTAAAAAAATAAAGAAAGAAAATGTAATGTTAAAAAAAGGTATTCCTTTATAACACCAACACTACAATTATGTAAGTAATATAAAAAAAATTTAAACTGAAATACTGATTTGACAAAAATTATGTGAAATCAAAAAACAATGTGCACAGAGGAGGTGACGCCTTTAAGAAGATAATCCGTCACTTCTTATTGTGGGAAGTTTTCTGTTATTGCAGTTCTCAGCATCTAGCTATGATTAAGTTACAAAAGTATCTGAGTATGGCATTTGGTGGAATTGGTGCACCCCAGAAAAGAAAAGAAAGACTCTTTTTATACAAGGGTATTGTTGCGTCTATCTGCATCTCCTTATTACTACATCATTAGAGTGCAGAGTAGAGAGCAGTCACTCTATATGAGATAAGCTATAGTAAAGACATTAACAGCAGAAAATATACAAGCTAATGTCTGTGTGCACATGCACCAGCTAGTGAACCAAACAGCAGTACTGTTCTATAGTCCAGGCAAAATGCAACAACTAAGCGGACAGTAACCTGCTTAGCTAATAGAACTCATGTTGAGTATCACCACAAATTATGCATTTTCCACCAAATGCAATGAAATATACTGATGTTGATGATATTCAGAAAGAACTACAGAAAACACTTTAAAAGAACAATGTTTACTGTGATTATCTGAGAAATTTTAATAATAGCATAACGCGGAATGAGTGAGCAACAAAGCACATTCACCTTTTTATATCATCATTTTCCATGATGTGTCGGAGGAAGTCCACGTAGTATGTCACAACTACCGAAGCCACAATCCAGAAAACAGAGTGTTTATTGATGCGGGGGAGTGGTTTGACCTCTTTTTCCTCCTGACCTGAAAGATGAAAAAAACAAAAAACAAACACAAAAGCACAAAAAATATTTGTATTAACTCAAGCCCTTTTTAAGGGCATACTTAATTACAGGACACCTCAGAAGAACAGACCGTACACTGTTCCGATGTTTTACTATAAATTAGATGCTAAGTAAAGTTATTATATTAACACACTGCATTACTCAAAGAAAACTGAAGTTATAGCACCATATGACATAAATCAAATCTAACATTTGTCTCATTAGAAGGCATACGACAAATCTCTGTTGTACAAATTCCAGCGTTTAAGCAGCTTCTGAGGCAAAACTGATAGGTTTCCTTCAGACAATCTTCCCTCTCAGAGGGCTATTAATCTCTATAATTTAATGGTTGATTAAACGTATCAGAGATTGTTGTTGGCCGCTGAAGTGGCTTAGCGTGCTACTCCACTGTACAAAGAGTTCACTATGAACTTGACGCCCTAGATAAGTAGCTGCTGTACATCTTAATCAAAGTTAAGCCTAATGGTTCATCCTTCATGTAACATTGGCATAGTACTATAATACATTATCTTGCCATAGAGACCCAGTGATGATAAGCAGGTATGGGTGTCATATACACAAAGCCATTCATAAGAAATCTCAATCTCGGTTATCTTACAGTTTACACTGGCAAAGGCAAGACCCTTGAATTGATAACTGTGAAGGAGTAGAGTGTCCCCTGTATTATGTTGCTGAGCTGACACAGAGTTTCTTCACAGTCTCACAGTCAAAACAATCAAGAATTGGTGGATTTCTGCCAGCTAGGGCCTCAGAGTTGGACAAGTGTCGGTTGTACAAGCTGCCTACAAGACACCATTACAATAAAAAGGCTGCAGTCACAATGACCAGCCGCTGTGTTACAGCTGAGGGAGTTTGCGTTTAATTACCTGTAGCTTAATACAGGGACGAAGTAATGAAAAGAAAGAAAAACGTTAAATGGTTTAAAGAAAGACCAAAAAAAAGAAAAGAAAGAAGGAAAGGTTACTTTTCTATGAACCTCTGCTCGGGTCAGCAGCTGTACTTGTGGCAGACAACCACCATTTGTACTCAAGTGACAGTTTGACACCTTTAAAGTCACAGACCGGGGTTAACTCTGTGGATAACAGTAACGGTGCCTTCCAGCGTAAATGGTTCGTTCAGAAGAAGAAGATTATTAGTTAAAACTGGCTAATAACGTTAGCCAGCATACATTTTCTAAACCTTACTCTTTTCATCTTCGGTACCCGAATCTGCTGGTCGCATAAGCAATTCTGCATCTCTTCTAAATCGATTCCGTAAGTTTGCAAGTTCATTGTCGTTCAACATTTTACTGACGCTACCATTAACTTAACATGAACATTAAATGTTAGCTAGCTGGGTATCAGAAGGCGCTTCCTGTGACACACTGAGTCGCTTTTTTATGACGCACTTGAACGAGACGGTTGTAGTTTTAAAACCCATTCTATAATAAAATAATAAGAATAACTTAATGTTTAATCATTTGACTTTAAAGCGATTATAAAATAGCTGAAGTAAAACGTAAAAAGGTAAATACTTTCAGAAAGGTTAACGTCAGGTATATATTAAATTGGATCTTTCTAAGATACAATGCTTAATCATAAAGTATTCTCAGTCTCTTCAATCTTTTATATACAGATACGACTGTTTTTTCTTATTCTTTACACGTATAAAAATAGAATTTGGCAAAGAGGAATGGGCCGTTCAGAAATTTTCTGTCGTTTTAAAAAGAATATCTATAAAAAACATTTTGTGCCCGTCTTTTATTAGGGAGCAGCTGGAAAGGTAGAGCAACAACCAAACTGGACCACTGGTCTGGAAAGAAATGCACGTCTAGTGTAACTGAGGATTAGGGGGAGGGTGGTCTGATGGGGTACTTCTGATGCCAACCCTCAAAACATCTGCAGAATACATAGTCGCTGGCTTTACTCCAAGCCTAATCTTGAATGTGAATGTATACATTTACATAGCTCTGGCAGCAATCTGACACTTCTCTTATTGTTGCTTGTAATTCTGAACCCTAATTTTTTTTCTGTTGAGACTTGAGACAGATTTTTTTTATACTTAATGGTTTGTCTATCACCCAGTTTAGCAGCTATAAATGCCAGAGTCCAGCTTTTTGTCTTTTTATTATTTTTGTAATATATGACTATTGGACTGACATGTTGCTAAAATTCTAATTATTGAAATCACATAACTGCACAACTCCTGCATTTAATCATCTTTAGGGAAAATGAAATGACTCCTCTTATTAAAATATATTAAAATACCTCACTGAAATAAAACTGTGTAACAGTGCTGAACATCGTATGGATGTGACACTTGTATCACAATTTTATGAACCAAAAATAAATAAGTTTAAAAAAAAAAAAAACTTAGTTCTGTGCAAAACTCTTGAGCCACCCAATCTGAAGAGGCCAATCCATGACTGATAGTGTTTCACTGTTTGTTTTTCTTTCCCAGTCTGCTTTTACTGCATTGGCAGTGTGTCTGGGATCATTTTCATGCTGCAAAATGAAACCTTTTCTAATCAGATACTTTCCAAATTGTACTGCCTGGTGGATCAAAATCTGATGGTACTATTCTATGTTCTTAAATCCAATAATTTTAAACGATCTCCAAACAAGGCTGGCTGAAATGGAACCCCAAATCATGACAGAGCCATTTAGTGACCATTTGTGATGAGGCTTCAACAAAAACTACTAGGCCAGATGCATCTTTTCGCTCCTGTGTCAAGTCTTTGCTGGTTTTTTTCTCATTCTTAAGGGTGGCTTTCACATCTGCAACAGATGCCATTTTCTTTTCTATTCCAGTATATTAAAATCCTTCACCTACATCGCACACCATGTCAATCTATGCCAACTTTTCTTTTTGGCAGACACTTTATTCATGCAAAAATGTTATTTTGTCTTTGAAACCTTGTTATTTTCTGCATTTTGTAGATCACATACCCAGGAATGGATTATACTGGGTTTTTCTGGACAGCCTGCTGATTACAAAGTCCCCAAAAACACAATATAAAAATTGGTTCCTTTTTTAAGCTACCTGTGCAGGAACAACATCTGGAAATTCCTTGAGTTAGGTAGCTTTTCTACGCTTGAATAATTCATAGATCAGTGAAAGAAAATGGAGAGCTATACAGACTAGACTGAAAATAAGTGAAATGCAGTAAATGTCCAAAGAAAAACTAAGACTGTAAGAACTATTGCTCAAGACCACTTAAAAAAGTTTTTTTGAGGAAGTCTGGCTCTTTGTAAGTAAAATATAAATAACATTTTACACAGAGCTGTACGTTTCATAATTTCACTTTGATACCAACGGCATGTTATTAATCATATACAGCAGATTAAGGCTTGAATGAATGCATTTGTTTTGCAGTGAAGATGTAGTTTCAGCATTCTGGGGGGTCTGGATTAAATCAACAGAATTAAGTTCTGCTGAGCCCAGGTGGACCAGAAAACATCATTTTAATACTACCAAACTTCAGTTACAGCTTGACTAAAGCCCAAAGTATGTAATATACAATTACAAGGTAAGCAGTGTGATGAATGAGCATCAGTGTTAAACCTGCTGGGATTAGCTGAGCTTCATAAAGCTGGGCAGATTTCCTCCTGTTTGTGTGTGTGTCTGCGTGTGCGTACAGGGTAAAGAGACTGCTCATTCTAGTCGTGCAAAATCAGACAGCATTAAAACTTCACCTGAGGCTGACACCAAGCGTCTTGCCTCTATGGGGCTTCTGTATCCCTGGCCAAGTGAGCCCCGTTCGGGGTGCCGAGGAATGTGCATTAACTTCGTCCCGTGTGAGAGTCTAATTCACCTCAGGTGCACCTCTCCCGTTACCCTTCCCCCACTCGAACATCCAATCCCACAGATAAGGTGCCATTTCCCAGCCTTACCGCGAGCTTGGAATGCGTAACAGAGGAGCCATCTATCACAATTGTCATACATTAAACAGTACTAAAGTTTTTAAGTCAAACAGGAACCAGACACTTAAATCGGTGGTAAAAACATTTTATCTTCAACATCATGTCAACTGTATTAAAAGACAACAATAAGACAATGATGGCTTTGAAATTAAAAAAAATCTATGCAATATGTCAAAAGGAGAAGATGAAGGAGTCTACTTTACAAGTCTAACTCTATCTTTCAAAACTCTAAGCTTTGGATTTTTGTTGATCTTGTTGTTGAAAAGTGCTAGCACTTCTTCCTCCTTCTTAAAATTCCTATCACCAGTGTAGGAATAGTAGGCAGCCAAAATCTGAAAAACATGAGCAAGCTTTTACTTTAGTGTTAATAAAAGATTATAGATCTTTGAAACTTTAAGAGTTTGATATACAAATAATGTGTGTGTGAATGGGTGGATGACTGAATGTGTAAAGCGCTTTGGGGTCCTGAGGGACTAGTAAAGCGCTATACAATTACAGGCCATTTACCATAAACAACTACATCCTCATTTCATATAGCAATGAAAACACTTCATGGCTCACCTTCTTTCTGAGTTTTTTCACTGACATTTCCTGGTCAGGTGACTCTCTCAGTACTGCCTTGATGTTCCCCTTCCAGTTAAATTTACCTGATGAGAAACAGAAATCAGCTTTCAGTACAGACACTAATCACCAAGGGTCACTTTCTCACTCTGAACAAAAGAGGCAACACTGACCTCTGCTGCCTAATCACTGCCTAATCATTTAATAAAGCAGGGCAATCTTAGTCATTGCTAGCTCCACCATACCTTTAGCAGCAGCTTGATCCTCAGTCTCCTCTTGATCATCAGCATCCTCCGTTTCTTCATCAACTGGAAAAGGATGATAACAGAGTTATCCAATAAATGTTGAAATACACACACACTTTAAAAAAAACAAAAAACAAATCTGATCAGACTTCACAAAGCCGCTGATGTAAACATCCCCAATCTATGCTTGAGTGTTAGAGAATACCTAAACTCAGTTTAACCATGACAGTAACAGATAATGTCCAGCACTTCAGAAATCTTGACTCACCCTTTGTTTTCTTGCTTGATGTCTCATTTTCAGTGCCATAGTTGTTATCATCATCACTGGGTTCTTCAGAGAGCTGTTTTCTCTTTCTGTCCTTTTTCTTTTTGCCCACCATTTCTTTCTCCAGCTCTTGTGCGACTGTATTTTCAGCACCTTTTGTAGCTTTCCCATTCTTCTGCTGTCGGGCCTCTTTGCGTTCCCGTTTGTTCAGTTTTTTCTTCTTCTCTCCCTCATTACTTGGGTGGCCATTCGGCTCTTCTTTTCCATTAGTGTGTACTTTGACTTCAGCCTCTGTCTGCTGAGCTGGCTGTGGGGGCTCTGAAGCCTGTCAGAGAGTGGCAGTTAAAGACAATCACTACAGCTATTGTAAACATGCTAGACTCTTTATTTTTATGGCATACTTGATGTTAAAAGGAGCAGTTTGCTTCCACTCATTTCCTGGTAACATTCAAATTTAATAAGCACACATTCACAGACTAAAAACATGAGAACTAACAAGCCTAACTTACGTTATCCGCTGCAGCAAGTATATTCCACACTTCCTCCTGCAGACTGGGGTTTGGTATTTTGAGACTATTTTTCATCCAGTTCTAATGAGAAAAGAAAAATGTGACAGTGAATCAACATTAACGTGAAAACTGATTACTTTGTACAGTTTTAAGTAATACTAACCTGAAACTTGGCCTTCTTTCTCGGTACGTTATCGTAAGTACTGACTTGTTGGAGGACATCTCTTAGCTTTGCACTGACTCCAGGTTTGTTCATGGCTTCGTGGACTTTCTTCAGTAAAAGGACATAAAGGTAGAACAGTTGGCTTTCCTAAGTGATCCGAAAGCTTTGCAGAGTTTTTATTTTTCTTCCCTGAATCTTACCTGGATCCACTGCTGCTGTTTCACATCTCCTTTGTTTGTTTTCGCCTCGTAGCCTTTGCCTCCATACTTCTGATCTTCACTGATGCATTTAATGTGGGTTTTGTAGTCATCGCCCCTAGTAGACAAACACACACAAATCGTTAGCACCGAGGCTGATCTAGCGCCTGTTAGCCTGGGCTAGCAGTGAACAGTCATTAATTACCAGAAGTCTTTTCCACAGTCGATGCAGGACAGCACCTGGCAGCCCCGGCAGATATTTACATGTTTATCAACCTGAGCTTTTTTCAGGGACTCCCCACAAGCGTTGCAGGTGAAAAACACCATATTCAAAGACTCTCCTGTTTGGCTAGAGTGCAGCGATAACGGTCAAAACTGAACCGGCCTACACTCTGCGGCACCGACCTATAAACCGGAGTCGGTTAAACTCTCATGCAAAAGCTGAACGCATGTGACAGCGCTGATACGAGCTAACGTTAGCCAAAGAACGGCGGCAGACCTGGGTCCCCTAA